TGTGCCATATTCCTTGCATTCTAAAATTAAATTCTTGCTGCATATCTTAATATAATGAATTTAGGGATGTGTGTTTCAGTTAAGGTTATGTATAACATAATATTTCTCACACTATTCTCACTTCACCTACAACTCCACTGAATCAAAATACTATTTTATTTCCATTATATAAGCATTAGACAACTGGAAGGATATATATCAAAATATTAATAGTTGTCTCCAAATGATAAGACTAAAAGGAATGTTTAGTTCTTCTTTCTGGGTTTCCTACAGCTTATGTTTTCTAAAATGAACTGTAAGGAATTTAAACAACAATTGAAAAAATATGGCAATGTGAATGCCCAGTTGGGTCCCAGGTTATGTAGAATCAGGCAGGGACACTTGGGCCTGCGTCCAAGAAAGGCAACTCCTGGGTAAGCTGACCTTGCCTGTCCACTTGCCTTCGTTCCCTTTCACCTCCCAGTCAAAACATCTGAGAGGTGGGGCAAACAGACTTCATTTCAATTGCCAGTTCCAATTGGTCAGTGGTGGCTTCCTAGAACATCTTGCAGAAAAAAAAAGATTTTGAGGCCCAGGTGGAATGCAGAAAGGCACAGAAAGGCTCGTGAGCATCGCTGTCAGAGAGTACACATTGTAATCCAACTGCAGTATATGTGCTAGATCTGAAAAAAAATCCCATTTCTATTCTTACTCTTACCTTTAAGCAGAACACCTGTTTTTCTAACCAGCAACATTTAACAGATCATGGTTAAGGACTACAGCACAAAGGATTAGATTTTTACTGTTAATATTAAGCTAAGCCTATTCTAGCAAAGACATAATTCAAAGTTGCAAACCAGCCTGACAGTGTAGCATGCTATTACAAAACTGAATGTCACACACATTTATGATCCAGTGATCCCATTCCTAGGACACATGCCTCTAGTTCCCAAGAGATAGGAACAAAAATGCTCAAAGCAATCATTTACAGGAGATTGGAAAAGTACACTGTGATTGATACACTGAATTTATTCATTGTATCAGTCACACAATCACACAGCAATCATTTAGGTGAAATAAACAAAGGGCATAAAATTACAAATAATATTGTGCCTTTGCTTAAAAAACCAAACACAACAACAAAAGAATAAATTTTTTTTAAATTTTAAATTAAAAAATTACTAAACACAAAAAACTAAACTGTATTGCTTACAAATATGTGCCAATGTGACAAAGCTGTTACAAGCAAGGCAGAGAGGGTGGGAGCTCAAGTAGCTGGGTCCCTACCACCACACGCCAGGCCCAGATGGAATCTTTCTCCCCCTGCCCCCTGGCTTTAGTTACCAGCTGTGTGAACAAGTAGATTAGGGCGAGCTCTATCACCGTCTCTCCGCCTCCAAATAAATAAATAGTTTTTAAAGAGTGGAAAATATAACAAAAACCCCTTAGGATAGTAGTTACCGTGAAGGCAGGCATAGGGCAGGATAGAAAAAGAGAGATAATACAATGAGGTAGATTATTCTAGTTATACTGGTTGGTGATTTCATGGATATTCATTTATTTTTTTTAAGATTTATTTATTTATTGGAAAGTCAGATATACAGAGAGGAGGAGAGACAGAGAGGAAGATCTTTGGTCCGATGATTCACTCCCTAAGTGACTGCAACGGCCAATGCTATGCCAGTCTGAAGCCAGGGTCCAGGAACTTCTTCCGGGTCTCCCACACGGGTGCAGGGTCCCAAAGCTTTGGGCTGTCCTTGACTGCTTTCCCAGGCCACAAGCAGGGAGCTGGATAGGAAGTGGAGCTGCCGGGATTAGAAACAGTACCCATATGGGATCCCGGTGCGTTCAAGGCAAGGACTTTAGCCGCTAGGCCACGCTGCCAGGCCCCGGATATTCATTTATTGCCAAGCCCCCCCCCCCCCCTCTCTCTCTCTCTATATATATATATATAATATATATTCATAAAATAAAATACTTATATTGTTGGAAATAATTTTTACAAGATTTTTTTAATTTTAATTTTTATTTTTATTGGAAAGATAGATCAGATTTACAGAGAGAAGGAGAGACAGAAAGATAGTCAGTCTGCTAGTTCACTTCCCAATCAGCTGTAATGGCCAGAACTGAGCTGATCTAAAGCTAGAAAAAGGAGGCTCCTTTGGGTCTCTCACACAGGTGCAGGGTTCCAAGGCTCTGGGCAAGCCTCTGCTGTTTTTCCAGGTTATAAGCAGGAAGCTAGATGGGAATTAGAGTAGCTGGGACATGAACTGGCACCCATATGGGATCCCAGTTCTTACAAGGCAAGGATTTATCCATTGAGCCATTGTGTCGGGCCCACAAATAATTTTCTTTTAATGCAAATGCTTAACTAACAATAAAATCTTTCCTCATGCTTGTGATGGCAGGACATAGCAGAAAGCTTGTCTTATAGTAACATGGATTAAAAGACCATGCTACTGGGGCCCAATGCAATGGCCTTGTGGCTAAATCCTCACCTTGCATACTCAAGGATCCCATGTGGGGACAAATTCATGCTCCACCTGTTCCACTTCCCATCCATCTCCGTACTTGTAACCTGGGAAAGCAGCAGAGGATGGCTCAAAGCCTTGTGACCCTATACAGGCATGGAGATCCTGTCTCCTGGCTCAGGATCAGCTCAGTTCTGGCCTTTGCAGCCATTTGGGGAGTGAATCAGAAGATGGAAGATCTTTCTGTATCGCCTTCTCTCTGTAAATCTTCCTTTCCAACAAAAATAAATAAATCCTAAAAAAAAAAAAAAAAAAAAAAAGAAATGCTACTGGTATACAGTGACTTTTTGCTGAAGACAGTCCTTTCTTCCCAGCAAGTTTTTACCCAGAGCCCACAACGGGTTAAGCTTTCCTTTGTCTCCTCTCTGGGCTGCCTCAGTTACACCTGAAGAAGGAACAGCTCTTCATCTGTGCAGTGACAAGCTTAAATACAGCATTTAAAAGCCATCTCTTTTAGATATCTTTTCAATCACTTTAAAGCTCACTTACCCCAAACATTGTTTTATTACTTCTGCGAGGATAATATGCCATTTTATATGGCAGTTTATCAGCAATGATGCTCTGGTGTTTTTCAAAGTGATTGCTTCTAATGAATGATAAGTTATATATAATAACAAAAGCATTGGAGTGCCTTGCATGTCTAGTCATCAGCAAGGGAGAGAACACACAACCCTTAAATACTGTATCTGTGAAGAAAGACATAGCATAGCACAAGATATATCTATCTAAACTGTTACATGAAAAGACCTAGCTTACAAAATCAGATCTCAAGTGTATAGGAGAAACAAAGCCTCAGTTTTAAAACAAACTGGATAGAAGTGTGGGATCTATTAACAGTAGTTACATGATACGGTAAAATATTTGAGCCTTTCCAAACTTTATAAAGTACAAATTTTTCTTTTACAAAGGAAGGAAAACACAACATCATAGAAAGGGAAACTAATTAAAGACATTGGGACATTGGCTTTCAGGCATCAGAGGTACCAAAGACATGTGTCTTCCCAGAGGCCAGGTATCAAGGCAGTAACCCCACTAAGATCCATGTTAAATCCATCTGTGTACTTCAGGATTGCTGTGTTTCAAGGCTGAAACTGACTGACTCCCTCGCTGTACACATCCCACCCCAACACTTCACTAATAAGTTAATGAAAAAGCACAGGGTCCTCCCTAAAATTCTGTTGTCTCTGCCCCTTAGTTTGCATGGCTGGCAGCAAGGCACATGCACCTGCTCCCTGCTTCCCCACAAAGGTCTTGGTAGGATGCAGAGAGAATTTGGATGCTGAAAAGCAGTGCCCATTCTGCTGCAGCCATGCAACCTCAAACGCCATCTTGATTCAGATCATATAAATGTCAGGCAGGTCACCCCAATTTTGGGCTCAGAAAATAATGTCATTATCATGTAATCATATAATTGTGTGTGTTTTTTTTTAACATTTGTCACTTTATTTAAAAGTTTAGTAGTTCTGTATGGATGAGGTTGTACAGGAACAGGAATGTAGACGCAACTGGGCCTCTCTGAAGAGTTTCTTTTAAACCACAGCACAGCACCTTCAGCCATTCCTCTTCTGATCTTATACCTAGAGAGCAATCACATGTGTGTGCAAGTAGACATAGTCAAGCAATTTAACTAAAGAAACGCTCACATTTATGAAGACTCAGAAACTATGGAGTGCCTTTTGGTGGGGGGATGGATAAATAAAAAGTCATGTTTGTAAGAAGGAATATTTACAGCAATTAAAAGTGACACTCCATATAGCAAATGGGTCAACACGTACAGTTCTGTACGTAGTAAAAAGAAACATATCTTCTCTAAGGATTTAAAAGAACTATCAATGGACTTAGCATTTTCACAAGGATAGTATCAAAAACATGCTGATTAAGAAAAAGAGTAAATTCTAAAATGACAGCTGAGATATGGTGCCACTTTTGAAAAATAAATGCACAGACTATGGCTACCCATCATAAGTGCAGATAGCTGTCCGCAAGGGTACAAGAACATTCTAGAAGGAAACATACTAAAATCTTGTGTTACTCCTGAGGAAAGACAGAAGGGAAATGAGGTTGGCTGATGTTCTACTTTTTCAAAGCTAAACAGATGCCTGTGTTACCTGAGGATTACAATGATTTTTTTTTTTCCTAGTCTCTACAATTACTTCATCCTCTCGGATATTATATCAAAAGAAGCAAAATGTAGGAAGTCTTTTTTAAGAAAACATTTCCCCCAGTACTACACCCACCATTCTACTTCCAGGAACAAGTGCTTATTCAAGTTCATTGGCAGCAGGGGCAAGTGGCCCAAAGACTGTGCTCAACTGAAGCCCTTTGGGGCTTCACAAAGCCAGAAATCGCTACACCACACAGGAGTGACCTGTAAGAAGCACTACTCCCTTCAACAGGGTCACATGAATCCCATCCCTCTCCCTGATGATTTTGAAGGCAAAGCATTTTAGTCCAGCATGGTCGGGCAGAGGAACTCCCCCAGTTACATACCTGTCAAAAACCACCGCTGAGTAAGCCCGCTCAGCGAAGATGACATCGGCAGCCCAGAACTCCTTCGTGGCCTTTAGCCCCCTGCCCTTGCCCTCCGAAGTGAACACCTCCACGTTCTCCATGCTCCCTATTGTCATCTCAAGAGTTCAGCAGAGCCACAAGCTGGATGTTTCACACTGAGTTCAGTCTCCTCTCACTGCTGCTATTTCAGCATCCCAAGGAACAAGACTATAAATGGACAAGCCACCGCCCCTTCCCTACCACCAACCCCCCCCCCCCCCCGCCGCCCTCAGCCACCAGGCCCTCACCTGCCCCTCCTCCTCCTTCCCTGATGGCCAGGGTGAGGCAGGCAAGAGGACTGCCATCTGACAAGGGGCTCATTCATCACCCAGCAAAGCTGCCACAGCAGAAAACAACCTTAGGCTGGTGTGATTCTGGAACTGGGTCTGACAAGTTTGGAAAAGTTGCTTTGCAAGGAAAGAGGAACCATCGGTAAGAGCATGGTTCTGGACATGCAGCTGAGTTTAGCTTGCATTGAAATAGGGAACACTTGGTCAGTAGGATATTTTTAGCATCCAGATGCTGCTGTCAATCTACAGCAGACAGCCGGAATGGCCTAAGAGAAGAAACAAGGTGATATCTACTGCCCTGGGACCCTTCAGCTGTCAGGCCTGCACTTTCCCAAGTAAGATGGGCCCCTCATCCCAAGCCAAGCAGCCCTTCCTGCAGATGACCAGCTGACAGCAAGCACCAGAAGCTAAACTTAGCTCACTGGCAAATATGTAACACAACTATTTAGGCTCCAGGGGCACCCCTCCTTACTAATATCACCGGGGACTCCCATAGCGCCACTTCCCCTAGGCCTGGAGTCTGGGAATTCCCTGTTCCCAGTACTGCTGATGGTGTGAGTGTGCAGTGTGCAACCTGGATCCAGAGAAGACAGGCAAAGAAAGAGCAATCCTCATCTCTTTCTACACAATTTCCCTTAAAAGATACACCTGCTGCCAGGAAGCTACCAACAAGCACCATCCTTTGGCTTGTCCAGGAGTGAGGAAGTAGGAAAGTGAACCCCAAAACATCCACTGAATTCCATACTGCCTTTCTCGGCTACCAGGCTGTTGTCGCTGAGGTTGAAAATGAAGACACCTATACCTCTGGAGCTATGATCTGTCTTCTGTGTAACATGTTTTAGTTTCTTGCCATGAATTGAAAGCATCCTCCAAAAGATCATGTGTTGGAAATCTGGTGCCCAGTGCAACCATGTTGGGAAGCGGGGCCAGAGATCTGTACCAAAGCACAGTAGATTAAGCCTCTGCCTGTAGCATCAGCATTCCATATGAGTATTGGTTCTAATCCTGAATGTTCCACTTGTGATTCAGCTCCCTGCTAATGTATCTGGGAAAGCAGTAAAGGCTGGCCCAAGTCTTTGGGCCCATTACCTACACAGGGGGCCAAGAAGAAGCTGCTAGCTCCTGGCTTCAGATTGGTTCAACTCTTTGTGGCCATTCAGGGAGTGAACCAGTGAATGGACAATCTCTGTTCCTCCTTTTCTCTCTGTTAATTCTGCCTTTCAAATAAAGAAAAAAAGGAAGAAAGGAAGGATGGAAGGAAGAAAGGAAGGAAGGAAGGAAGGAAGGAAGGAAGGAAGGAAGGAAGGAAGGAAGGAAGGAAGGAAGGAAGGAAGGAAAAGGAGAAAGGAAGGGAAAGGAAAAAGAAAAAAGTGTAAGAATTTTTTAAAAAGTTGGTTAGATCATGTCGATAGCAGAATGATGGGCTTACATCTGTTCATGAAGGACTACTCATTGTAATACTATAGGGGAAAACAGTAGCAGGGCGTGAGGACTTGGGGAGGGGGCGGGAAATTCCAGAGCCTACAGAACTGTATCATAAAATAATAATTTTCTTTTAAAAGTGGGTGTCCAAATAAAAAAAATTGACTAGGTCATAAAGGCCCTGCCCTGATGCTGTTATTACAAAAGTGGGTTCATTATCTCAGAAAAGGGCTCCTGATCAAAAGGTGACTTTGGGGCTTGACGCGATAGCATAGCAGTTAAGGTCCTTGCCTTGAATGCGCCAGGATCCCATATGGGCTCTGATTCTAATCCCGGCAGCCCCTCTTCCCATCCAGCTCCCTGCTTGTGGCCTGGGAAAGCAGTCCAGGATGGCACAAAACCTTGGGACCCTGCACCTGTGTGGGAGACCCAGAGAAAGCTCCTGGCTCTTGGCTTCGGATTGGCTCAGCTCCAGCCATTGCAGCCTCTTGAGGAGTGAACCATCAGATGGAAGATCTTCCCCTCTGTCTATCCTCCTCTCTGAATATCCGCCTTTCCAATAAAAATAAATAAATATTTTAAAAAGTGGCTTTGGGTTCCTTTCCTGCTGTCTCTATTGCCCATCTGATGCTTTTGCCATGTTATGATGCAGCAAGCAGGCTGTCACCAGACACAGTTCTTTGATTCAGGACTTCCCAGCTTCCCTCATCATGAATCTGTAAGTTGTTGTTCATTGTAAGTCACTTAGACGCAGGTACCCTCCTATAGCAGCAGAAAGCCACATCTCTGTATTGGGGCTCGTGTCCTGGACCTCTGTGACTGTGGCAGATCATCAGTGCTGGTTTTTGAGTGCTATAGGTCTCAGTCTGAGCTCCGAGGCTCCCATTACCACCCTGGTAATCAGCAGGTGATCATTTCTATGTCACTAGATTGCTGCAAGTGTTAAGTGAGGTAACACGTATAAAGGTCATAGTGCAGTTCTTGGTACTTCATGGAACACTCACTAAATGACAGTAGCTTCTTTTCTTTCTTTCTTTCTTTTTTTTTTTTTTTTAGAAAGGCATTTATTTATCTGAGAGTTAGAGCTAACAGAGAGAAAAGAGATCTTCCATCTGTAGTTTCACTCCCCAAATCACTATAATAGCTGAGGCCAAAGCCAGGAGCCAATAGCCTTTTCCAGGTCTGCTAGGTGGGTGGGACATGCCCAAGCACTTGAGCCATCTTCTGTTGCTTTCTTAAGCACATTAGCAGGGAGCTGAGTCAGAAGTACCAAGACTTGAACCGACACCCACATGGGATGCTAATGTCGCTGATGACTGCTCAACTCATTGTGTCACAGCTCCAGCCCCAATTTCTGTTAGTTCTTTGCTCATATTAGTCTCCCAAAGTAAAATAACCAACAGAGAGACAAAAATGCAGGTTGATGTGGGAGATGCCTATACCGTACTCAGCACTTTTATCTGTGACATGATTTTCTGTAATGATAAAGGACTAATAGTGTCATATAAAATTCCCTTGGCTAACAATAAATAGGGTTCCTGGAAAAATTCAGTGTATGTTAAAAGTTTACAAAAACTTCTGTATAGTTACCTACAAAACACAGACTCAGATAATTATAAGCTGGTTTCTCATTTGCCAAAGCTGCAGAATGACCAGTGATTCCTCATTGCATTGAGCTGCTCGTTGCTTGCTAGTCTAGCATCCACATCCAGGATCAGTGAAACAGAAGATATTGGCATTGTTTCCCAGACTGGTGATGAGGGAGAGGGCAGTGAGCTAGACGATGCTTCACCTCAACACGAATCTGAGGCAAATGTTTTTGCCTACCTGCCCTTGCAAGGAATTCTCACCACTCCCAGCTTCCTCCTTCCTCACCCCCACCACTGCTAGCAGCCAGATTTTTTCTAGTGGACTTGATCCCTCTAACACTAGACCTTTAACATCCCCAAAATCATTGTGAAAACCAAAATTCTTCTTCCGTTAATTCACAATCATGTCTTTATAGATGAGCCCTTTTCATTCCCAAGAAGATAGATATCTCACTATATTGCCAGTGATTTTAGTAGGCATCCAATGTCTTTCTTTTGTGTCCGAGTAAAGTAGGGTGCTGAGAAATGGAGAAAAATAAAACCTAAGCCAAAGGGTCCCTGCTTCAGACTGAACTGTGAGATTCCAGACATGGGCATGACAAAAATAACCTCTGTGGAACAGGACATCCAGATCTTTCTGCTTCTATATCAGCTGAACACACACACACAGACACACACACACACATAGCCTCATGCATAAACATATCCCCCAAAACACTACAATGGCTAAAACTCCCACATCCTAAACACCATACAAGGCGATTGGAACAGGATATGCTAAGCAAATATTATGCCAGAACCTTAATCACATAAGACTAGCAGTAGACGCTGTTTTGAGAGAACTACCAGGGTAATGTCTCAAGACTAGACATGGGCTTCAAGTATCCTCTTACTTTAAGGAGGGGCCTACTTTTTAACTTGCATCTTGAGTATACTCTGTCATCTGATGTAACATTGCAGCCCCCTAATCTTTAATCCTAGCCTGCATTCACATTATTGTCTTGAGCATTTGAGCTGATCACCTCAGAGGCATTGGCTGGATATGCCAGAAATCAGAGAAAACACACAAATTAAGTGTGAAGACAGAAACATAAGGTAAACCCATATGGTTTATAATAAAGTTTTAAAATCTTGGAATAGTTTGTGTGCCTTTATGAATACCACAGTCACTAGTTTTCAGTACCCTGGGGAACCCCCAAGACATACTGAAATAGCTGATGGCTGAGCCATGTACCTGCAGGGAACACCATCTAGTGGCGAAGCAAGGGAGCTGCAAGACTTTAATCCAAACATAGGCCCTCAATCACCCGATCCAACTTCCTTCCTGCCTGGTGCTAAACTTCATTTGGAACAGGGATTGATAAAACTCTAATAGGCATGGGTAGTAACAATTGTTCCTACCCCCACCCCACTCCCGAACGGTTGGAGTGTGGGGAAACCAAAGCACTATTTTGTGACATGTGAACGTGACATGAAACTCAAATTTCAGTGACCATACACAAAATTTGGTTAGCAAACAGCCACACTCATTTGCATATGACTACTTTCACACTCCAGCAGTTGACCTGAACATCGACAACAGAGCTCACATGATACACACAGCTGGATATTTACTTGTTTACCAGCCCCTGCGTGAGCTAGAAATAGCTTAATACTTGGCAATACTGAACAGATGAGGGGGGCTCATGGGCACTCACCGGCTGATTCATAAGTTCCCTAAGAGACACAAAGAAAAGGTACTGTGTACTTCCACCAGCCATATCCCAGGATTGAGCACCACATTCTACATAATCACATCACTGACAATCCTTCACATTCCCCCTGTCCTGGCATTTTTACCAAATAATGTACTCACCTTTATCTTTCTCCCTCTGGTTCCAAAAATCCTTAGCCACACATTCTGCACCTCTCCCCCACAAATTTCTAAATGTATGCAGTCCACCTGCATTTATTAGCAGATGTGCTCTGTATTCCAGATGCAAAGAGGAATAACATTTACGCCTTGTCTTCAAGATACTGATCACTTACATGGATTACAGAAGAGAAAGCAAAGATGGCTAGAGAGCGAGTAGGCATAGAACAAACCATATCCAAGGCAGCCTGAGGTACCAGAGTAGCCTTCAGAAAATGAGATGGAACAGGCATATGTTATGGCATAGCTCGGAAAGCCACCCACACAGCCAGCATCTCATATGGGAACCAGCATGAGTCCTGGCTGTTCCACTTCTGATTCACCTCCCTGCTAAGGCGCCTGGGAAGGCAGAAGAGTGCTTGGGCTCCGGCACGTACTGGAAGAGCTCCTGGCTCCTAGCTTATGGCTTTTGCCTGACTTAGCCCTCTTTGGGCTGCCTTCCAGAAAATAACCCACTGAATGGAAGAACCTTCTCTCTGCAACTCTGTCCTTCAAATGCCTTCAATAGAAAAGGAGGTAGAGGAACCCAGTGAAGAGTCAGAGCTGAAAACAACCATTTCAGACCCAAAGACACAGCAACAGGGCTGAGATCTGAAAGGGAAGCCACAGCACCACACGCACAACTAAAACTGGCAGAGTTATGGGGCAGCTGAGGAGCACCGCTGCTTTGTTTCTCTTTAATGCCCTAGGATTTCACATACATTTAAAAGCTACACAAACACAACACAGTTTGAAATGTTTGAAGTCGTCCTTGACTTACTGCTGTTAAAGCACCTTTTCAAGTGGGTTATTACTACCATTTTAATGGCTATCTATGTTGGATATTATCATAATATGTATTCAAGGCAGTTTTTAAAACTATCGAAATGTGTCTTATCTTTTAATTTTTCCCCCCCAAGAACTTTGTGACACCTGCTCGTATTTGCATAATCTGAAAGAGGGAAGAGGGTGAAAGGTCATTTGCCTATCAGCTGTGACCTTATCTCAGGACCAAGGACCAGGCCTACACCGGCCTGATCTACTTTTACAATTAAAGACTACGAGGAAGTAGACGAAAGAGATCATGGACGTCTGACAAACTCTGGGTGTGGAATCCGTAGATTTCCAGGTTTTCGCCCTGGCTAGTTTCAGACCCGCTTTCCCAAAGCGCGTAAGTAGCTCCTCTGCGTATCGCCTTCACCTCAGGACGGCAGGATCGGCTGAGAACGACCAGCTCAATTAGAGCAGTGCCCGGAAATGGCGGACGCCGAGGGCAGGGCAAACAGGGCGGAGGGACTGACGGCGCTTTCGTGGGAGGGGTGATCTCTGCGCAAGCGCACCAGCGCTCCTCGCCGTCATGGCGTCGGCGCCGTCCAGTCATGCGCCAGGGGTGGCGGCGACTTCCCCTCAGGAAGTCGGGTCTCCGCCTCCTCCTCCTCCTCCTCCTCCTCCCACCCCGCCTATTCGGCGGCGGAGGCGGCGGCGGCGGCAGCGGTTGTTCCTGCCTCTCCGCCACCTCCACCGCGGCCTATCCGCCCGGCGGCGTTGGCGGGGAGGGGGACAGTAGTTATAGACGCCCGCCCCTTCCTCAGAGAAGGTGAGTTCCCGCCCCGGCGGCGGGGGCAGCCCGGCCTTGAGCCCCTCCACTCCCGCGGCCCAGGAGAAGGGCCTGCGCGATCCGCACGCTGGGCGCGGCGCCCCGAGTGTGCGAAATGGCCGCCCTGGGCGCGTCCGGAGTCCCTGGGCGCCCCTCAGTACCCGCCGCCCCGGAGAGGGCGTCAGGTTCCCCGGGCCCCCAGCCGGAGTGTGGAGGGGCCGGGGGACGCCAGGGCGAGCCGAGGAAGCCGAGGTCAGAGTGGGAAGAGGAGACCCGGCAGGCGTCTGTGGAGCTGGAGTGCAGGGAACGGGGAAGGGCGGGATGACGAGAACGATCAAATTCCAAGATCGCGGGAACAGAGGAAAAAAAAAAAAGTGAGGTGTGGACAGGAGTAAAGCTGCGTTTGGAAAACGTAGCATCCTGGAAAGCCGAGACGTCAACCTAGGATTCTTAGGAGTGGTGGCAGCCAAGTGGCGTCTTCAAAGTTGCAGGGACCCTGGTGGGAAGAGGTGGGAGGAAGAGAGGAGGTCTTGAAAGGTCTGGCTCTTTTCTGTGAGAACAGCCCCCCCATCCCCACCCCCACCCCCCAAAAAAAACCAAGTTTCTAGGAGTTCAAAGCCCATCTTGATAGTGGCCCGGGCTTGAAGACGTGTCTGCCAGTGTAAAGGTAAACATGAGTTAGAGCGCTGCAAACATTTTATTCTTGGGGGGACTTGGGGGGTAGAGCTGGGCTCCCCTGCGATTTGGCTGCACTGTGGGAAAAAAGAGGATTAGGAGGTGGAGGGAGGGAGGTGGAAATGACAAAGGATTTGTCATTAGAAGCGCAAGTAGGCCAGCTGTGCCTGCTGACTGGGCTCCTCTGGGTCTGCCCTTCCTGATGACACTGCAGAGGAAGGCTGGTGCGCTCCTTGGGATGGACACACACACACACACACACACACACACACACACACACGGCAGAGGGACAGAGAAGGGTGCCACAGCTGTGTACCCTTTCTAAAGGGAAGCCGGGGCTGTCAGCAGACCGTATTTTTTTTTTTTCCAAACAGGAATGCAAAAGGAGGTTATGATAAATTTTGGTCCCGAATCCCTGCTCAAGGGTTTGGAGAAATTTTAACACTTCTCAATATATTTTCCAAACACACACATATAAATTTTTTTTTTTTTTGGAAAGGCAGATTTACAGAGAGGACAAAGTTTTATTTCTTGACCATCTCAACACTTTTGAGTTCCTGCAAATGAAAAACCTGTTGCAAACTGTTAAGCTGAAGCTTTAAAGCACTTGGGAAATTGTTTTAGACAGCAGTGCTTCGATTGCCCTGCATATCTCCATGACACCCAGTTCAGCTTAATAGTGTTTAGTATTTGCTGTGTTGCTTTATGCTGTTTTTGCTCCAGAGTGAAAGTGGAAGCCAGAACATTGCAAAATACTTCAGATTGCTTTTCCCCAGGAGGAACACCTGTAAATATAGCCCCATAAAAATAATTGCCTTTGGATCCTTTCTCATGATGCTCTGTGGCCTGTTTCATCATGTTTTACACGTTGCACTTTGGAGAAATGGCACATGGGTGAAACACATTTCTTAAAACATTTTTGAAAGCATTCACTAAAAATGGAAATTAGAAACTGATTGCAAATAAATCATTAAGACAGCCTCAGAAGACTATATTTGAGGTCTTACAGTCAGTAAATCTAGGTTAGTACTGTTATAAGGTGGAATAAAGTTGATTTCTATCAAACCTTGCCACCAACAAGTAAGAATGAGCATTTTATAGGTGTCAAGACTACACGTTCTGTTTGGCTCTCATGGAAACTTAATTGCCTAAGGAAAAAACAACTTCTTGTTAGATCCTAATTTTTTTTTTAATGAGTTTCATTATGAACAAAAGACTAAAAGAAATCCTAGCATTAACTTTTCTGTATATCATTTCAGAATAGAAAGTGAGAATATAATAATAGACTATAGTACTAGTATTTTGACCAGCTAAATGATCCTATAAGCCCCAAAGTTTCTGGGCTTTTGACTTATGTCGTCGGAATTGGAGTAGGCCAGGGGTTCTCAACAAAGGACGATTTTGTTCCCTAAAGGATTTTTGGCAGCCGTCTGGAAATATTTTTCGTTGTAGCCACTGAACAGAAAAGAACTTAGCACAGGTGCTACCCCCATCTGTTTAGTTGTATTTACAAGAGGTGCCACTAACAAAATTCATACAACAGCCCCTCAAACATACACACATGGAGAATTATCCTACCCAAAATGTTAGTAGTAGCAAGGTTGAAAAATGTTCTTCTAACCAAACCATGAGGTCCATTACTGCTTTAAAATTGTAAACTGATTGACAGTTTTGATATTCCCTGGCAGGGCTATATACATGGAACATACAAAACATTGAAGTGTAATCAGACAGCATTCACAGAGTACAGAAATCATTTTTTTTCCAGGTAGGTTTGCAGCTAGTCATTAGGATTTGAAAATTATTTTTTTTAGCCTTAAAAATTACCTCCTACTTTATTTCAGGTAAATACATTTCACAAATAGTTGATTAACTCCACTTACTAAATGGTAAATATTTGATGTTACACTTTTCCAAACACTTTCGGGACTCTTGGTTACAGGAAGCTTTAAATGATTGCCATTTATGATCATGGATAAGCAAAGCAGGGGGAAAAAAATGTTGCTTGCCACTTAACCAGTATCTTTTTTTTTTTTTTCCCTAAGTTATTTTGGAGGGAATTCTTTCAAAAATGTCATACCTCCAGTACAATTCAAGTATCGCCTTGAAAATGCTGTTGGGACCATTAAGATAAATTTGAAGTGTGTCTATTAATCCCTTCTCACTTGTGGCGATAGCACCTGTATGAGGAACACCTTAGGAGCTTGATGATGAGAAAATGTTAGGATCAGGAAAGACTAAAAAAATGGTAAGCAGGGAACATATAGAAGGTATAAGGTTATAGAAATGAAACTGAGGAACTCAATCAAAAATGCCACAGTAATGTGTGACCAGGCTGATGTGAAAAGAAATACACATACTTAGTTTATGATCATGGTGTCATAGGACTTTTCCAGGGCACAGTAATTAATTCAGTAAAGGAACAGTTTTAACAGTTCCTACGGTAAACAATTGCTTCAAGTAATCATGTCAGAATGATCATAGAAAAATAAACATTTTCTATCTCTGGAAGGAAAAAAGTTGAGTCAGCTCAATCTTTAACCCATTTATATAGCAACTGCTTAAAAATATTTTCCCTGTTTTCCATGATATGAAAGCAGAGATTCAAGTCAAATGACCCAATTAAGTTAACACTATAAAGATTTCAGTAACATATAGGGTAAATTAAATGGGGAGAAGGACACATAGTAAATGTGGATTCAAGTTTTTAAAAAGAACTAGACTTCTGAGATAACTGGTTTGCTGTTTCATGTAAATAGAAGCTCTACTTATGATGTGTTTGCTGTGGGCACATCAGAGCATATGTTGGCAGCCAGCAAGAATGGGGAGGAAGAGAGACGAATGGTTTTTATTAATTTCAGATCTGCCTTTACTAGGTGTCAATATGTAAAAATACCAAGTAGGCATTTGAAGACCGTTAAGGATTGGTTCTGTAGTTAATCACATGGATCTTGGGGTGTATGGATACTCCCCCTGCTGACCTATTTACATTCGCTAACTAGAGGGAGTGGCTTGCATTAATGGCTTTCTAATATAGGAGGTCTCCATGAATCCTGTTCAAACTACCCAGGCACAATCCCTGAGCCAGGTAGCTGAAGAGCACATATAGTTACGGACATTTAAAAACAAAAACATGAATTTGATATTAAAGTTTTAACTAGTGTGGCTTCTCAGCCTTCTGGTCAAGATCAAGTGTAAACTTGTAACTAGTACTCCCAATTATTGATTACGCTGTTGTTAGAAATAGTCCAGTTTTTTTTATGTGATTAATCTAAAATAACTAGAACATGTCAGATGCCAAGTTAGATGCCAGTCTCATTTCCTACAAGGAGAAGTTTAGTAACTCATGAAAGCTAAGAGTATACATAATGCTGACAGGTATGGGCCTTCACATCCAGCACAATTATCCCTGTAAATGGGGTGTGACGTTCAGGGAGAAGGAGTTAAGACCATGCTTCAGCAGAGAACAGAATCAGTTCTCTGTCTGCTAACCCGGCAGGGGCAGGGTGAAACTGGGCTCTGCTTGGTCTTCCCTAAATGTAGATTAGTGTTCACAGAGTCCAAAAGAAATCCAGTCTCATGGCTATTATCCAGATCCTTGCCAGTGCCTTCTGATAAGGGGGTGATGGGGAAGGTTTACAGGGTGGAAAGAAAGGATACTATCAGGATTCACAGATGATACTAACATGTATGGAGAAAACCTTAAGAAAAAAAAACTAGGGAAAGGCTACTGGAAACATTTTACCAAAGATGCAAAGTAGAGGAATAATTAGAAAGTCTTCTAAGTGTGTCTGTCACATGCATTCATTAATTTCTCTAAGGAACACAACAATCCAAGGGGTATGTTAATGTCCCTAGAGATGAGGAATCAGGCCTAGAGGGGTTAACAAGGGTGACACAGCTAAGCTACGGGACTGAGTCCCAAGTCCCTGGCATCCCTATGTCTGTTTGGCTCCAAGGAGCAGTGAGGTAAGTGATATGACAGGAGGTAGTTCTGCTTACTAGCTTTTATTAATAAGGGGCATGAATGATCTTCCTGAAACAAGTCCAACACAGGGAGCAGTTTTAAAGTTGGAACTAGAATTACCTCTTGTGTTGAAGCTTTGAAGCTCTACTTTAAACACTTTGCTGAGGTAGACTTACAGTAAACCACATCTTTTAAGTGGAGAGTTCATTGATATACAAGTATTACCTTGTAACCCCCAACCTAGGCAAAATGTCAGATACTTCCATTAATACTAAAGTTTCCTTAGGCTCTTTGTGAGCCATCCTTCCCTTGGCCTGTTGCCAGGCAACCACTGATGTGCTGAAACTAACATGTTTATAAGACCAAGAGGTCTTCAAAAAAAATTACTGGAAATGCATACTGTGGAGAAAATTGCATGGATTTCAAGATTTTCTGCACCAAAATAATCTTTTCTTTCTGTTTTCCTTGTGACTTTTAAAAATACCCAAAGAAAGTAGATATTCACTAGTTTCTGTCACTCAGCATGATATCGGTATTCATCAAAGCTTACGGTGCTGTTTTGTTCTTTTGTATTGCTGAGTAATTCTGTGGTATGACTGTACTACAAGCTGTGATGTGAACATGGTTTGTTGCCCCAAAATTCACAAAGGTCTTTAACCTCAAATTTTTAAGCCATACCTACTAAGAGAATGGAAACTTAATCTAATTAAGGTGTTTAGAAATGGAGTTTTAGAGAGTGGTTAGATTATAGGTTGTTAGGGTGGGGCCTTACTGAATCCTTCCTCAGGCACATATGTCATGATTTGATGTGGTCAAGTGGGAGGGCTCTCGGCAGAGCCTGAGTCATGCTGCTTGACTTGAACTTTGAGCCTCTAGAACTGTGAGTCTAAATAAACCTCTTCATTACAAAGTAGCCTGCATGAAATATTTCATTATAGAAATAAAAAGGCTGACGGTCACACCACATTTTCTTACCTATCTCCCATCGATAGACAAAAGGCATCAACTTTTAGCTATGACAAAACTGGTTCAAAAAGATTTGGGAAACAGTGGAGTTAAAAGATGTGCAGATTTGTGAACATTTTACCCCCTCATGTTTTTCTAAAGAATCTTCAGTTTTCCCCATTTTAAATTTAATTTGCTTTAAAATTGAGCCACAAATGTTCTTTATTCTAGATCTAAGTCTTCTGATATATGAGAATATTTTTCCCTACTCTGTATCAAATGGAAAGAGACCATGAAATGTGGAGATTAAAAAATATTTCTTTTTAAGAGAAACAGATTAAAGAAAGTAGATTCAGAATTTTTAGATCCTTAGTTAATAACCAATTCTGGAGCGAGACTCGCTTAGTACTACTTTGGACATGTTCCTTAACCTTCTATGCCTCAGTTATTTCTATAGATTAGATGACCCAGACCATATAGTAGTACTCAGTCCATAGGCTTCTTATGGTGGCAGAAAAAAAAAATAGTTAATACATACAAGTACTGAAAAAGTATTAAAGTATTACATAGTAAGGTCAATGCTGTATAGGTCTAATAGAACTAGTACTAATAGGTAACTTGGAAATGTGAAAATTTGAAATAAACTTCAATGTTGTGGGACCCAATTCTTTAAATTCCCTGGGGTTTTTGTCCACCATGTGTACTGAGTGACACATGTTCAATTAGTTCAAGAACTCAACCATCTTAATTGTAAAGAATTTTAGGACATAGCACTTTTCATCTAGTTTCACCTGCACGACTTGAACTCATAGAGGAATGAGGGAGGAAAGAACATGATGTTATGAATTTGCTACAATCTGAGTTTATTCCAAAATAAAATGTACCAACTCAGAATACTGCTCTCTCCCCTTCTTCCTCCCTCTGAGAAATAACAACAGCAACAATAACTGGGTACGGACCGACAAAGGCAGCTTTACTCAGGATCACAGATGTAGAATTACCTGTGTTTCTCCTCTCTTCTTGCTACCTGCTCTTATCCCACTTTGCATCAATATTACCTTTGAATGTCTTAAATTAGTCTCACCCAATTTTTTTTAAGATTATTTTCTTGAAAGAGGAACTTAGATCTTTCATCCAAAGGTTCACCTGTCATGTGGGCGGCAGGAACCCAAATGGTAGAGCCACCAGTGCTCTGCTCTTTCCAGACCATTAATAAGGAGCCACATTGGAAGTGGAGAATTTAAACAGTGCCCAGATGGGATTCTCACATCACAGGCAGTGGCTTTACTCGAATCATCACAGAGCTAGTCTCTTTTTCTACTGCCACTTGATACAGCCTGGTAATTTTTTACATAACAGTTTCCCCATTTTGAGCCTTTTGTCTGTAACTGCAAAATTAAATCTGAATGCCCAAGTAAGACTTGCTGTGAGTTGGCCCCCTCCACCTCTAACACGATACTTTACTACTTTAATGTACTTTTGTTTAAAGCAGAAATGTCATTTCTAACATCCTTCCCTCTCCACAACACCATTTCCTCATTTTTTTTTTCCTTTAAATTTTACTTCTCTCTAAAAGGGCCACTCCGAATCCCTTTTTTCTCCACAAATCCTTTCCCATCCCTCCCAATACCCTCAGCAAGAAGATATTATACCTTCTTGGGTCTTGTAGCACTTAACGTATTTTCATCTTGCTTCATATCACTCGTAAAGCTGTAAATTCCTCAGTGTTACCAACTATTTTGTACATGGATCATTCTCAACCCATAGATCTAGCTTTATCAACACACAGGGAAGGTAATGTCTTTAAGTCCCAATATTATAATTTTAAAATATGAGAAATTCCACTTATTTTTACAGAGGTAAAAAATGCAAAAAATATTCCTTTGTTTGGCAAAGATTAAATAAATGTTCATCTTTTCTTTCCCTAATTTTTCCCATAGTACCCTGATAATAGCTAAAGACAAAATTCAGCAAGTAGTGATGGTAAAGTTTAATAGCGTCTAAAGGCATGGAGAACTTGAATAAAGCATTGTTACGGGTTAGGAAAATGAAGAAATGCCTGGAAATAAAAACCAGAGTAGCTGAGACTTACTAGAAAACTGACAGGGAGCTTGAGAATGTGGTGCTAGTTATTAGAGATAAGAACAAAACACCTGCTGGGTGAGGTAATTCATGGTAACCCCAAGTTTCTTACCTCAGTGTACAAGATTGCTTTTTAGAAATGGTAAGTCTGGTAATAAGGGCTGAACAGGGAGGGATATTATTTTTCTATTTTAGTAAACTTTCCACTTAAGCTTTGATTGCCACCAAAAAACGGTATTAATCTGTTCTTATTAGGGACTTACAATTAAAAAGTTAAACACTATCACCACAAATCCTGAATCAAGGAAGTTTCTTCTTGCTTTGCTGAGGCCATATTTTAGACAGCTCAAAATGTTGGAGATGCCATATGTAATAAATTTAATATCTAAAGTTATGCATCATTTAAAAAAGAAAGATTTATTTATTTGAAAATCAGAGTTACAGAGCCTCCACTCACTGGTGAATTCGCCATGGTAAGGCTGGATCAGACTGGAGCTGGTTCCTCTGGGTCTTCCCCATGGGTGCAGGGGCCCACGCAGTTGAGCTATCTTCTCCTTTCCCAGGCACATTAGCAGGAAGCTGGATCAGGAATGAAACAGCTAAGACTTGAATTGGAGCCCATGTGGGTTCTGGCATTATATATGGTGGCTTTACAAGCCATGCCACAATGTCAATCCCCTATCAAGTTCTTTTCAGAATGTTTTTGGCATGCAAGTACTCTCTTGAGGCTCATCATACATTTAAGCAAACCTATTTAACCTATATCCTGGAGCTAAAATTATAAAGAGCAGTATAACAGTTTATGGAGCTTTAAATTACAAAGTCATATACTTTTGTGAAAGTGAATTCAGATGTGTACATTGAGCGGAGTATTAAGTGTTCTCTGTCCCTTGCCTCTCACTTCCCAGTTCCTTGTTCCATTTAGGTTTAGTAAATATCTTTCCACTTGTCTCACTGTTGATGTTTAGCTAACAAAAATGATCAGTCTGTCAGATCAGTCTGTCAGATTTACTGATTTCATAAATCAGTATTGTTATCCTGCATCTGCTAATCACTTCAAGGATACAAGCAATGGAGGGATTCAGGTGAGGCAGGGAGGTGTTTGGTACATGGAAAGTGACTCCTGAGACCATGATTTCCCACTCTGGTCCAGAAAAACAGATGTTTCTAAGTGAGGTTTCCATTTCACACTTGAATCAAGCATTGTTTGGGGATAGAAAAATGAAGGGAATGTGAACCAAATCCATATTATAACCCAGGGAGTTAGAAGATGAGACATTGTTCAAGGAGCTGTGCCTCACAGGTTTTGGAATACTTATTATCAACATTTATTTGGATTTATTTACCCTTAGCAGGTACATCTTGCTAAGGGTATATTAGAGATAAAGCTCTTTTATTGATGTAAATATCATCAGAGTGTTCACTATGATAATATAGAAAATATAGATATAAGCAGAGGTCTAGATTTCCACTTATCTTTCTCCCCGTGATCCCAGTAAAAGAAAGTGACTGGATCATAGACCAGCTGCACTAATTCCTTCCTTATATAAATACATATGAATATGTTTAACTTTAGGTTGTATTTGTTGGGTTGTTTTGTTAAAATTGGATTTTATGATCGATACAATGATAGAAAGATAGAATCTTAGATCATCTTTTCCCTCGCATGCAGATATTTCATCATCACATGTGATGCCAATTCATTCATTTAAAGGTCAACCTAAAATTAATTTGACACCACATGATTAGCTTCTTAATCCATTTTGTAGAATTCCACAGACTGAGTAGTTTATGAAAAGAAATTTATTTCCCACAGTTCTGGAGGCTGTGAAGTCCAATATCAGGATGCTTACATCTGTGAAGAGCTTGCTCTGCCATCCCATAGCAAGGAAGATGAAAGGGTGATAGAGTGCGTGCATGCACACTCAGGAGATGCAACCCACAGCCTCCAGACCTTACGTAACTGACATTGATCCATATGGAGCTTTTGTGACCTAAACACTTGGCCCAACCTCCCAACAACATTTGTTGAGGATTAAGTTCTTAACACATGCCTTCTGCAGGACACATTCAAACTGTGGCCATATCCTACTTCAGTCAACACTGGCTGGCTATAAAATAAATTCAACCCAGTAAGGAGCTATAAATTATGTATAGACTTCAGTGTAAATCTAATAGTTTGGGAATAAATTATGATGATAATGAGAAAAACTTAAAGAAAGCTGGCTTTGAGAGCCTGTCTGAAACACATAAATTTCTGTAGTCATCTCTTACTATGGGAGAAAGTTGCCAATCACAGGCAAATGTGGTTTGTGGCTGTATCATGTGGTTCTCACATGGGATTAGTGGAATTCAGCTGTCCCTTATATAAAACGACATCACATTTGCATTTAACCTGCACACATACCTTATAGTTGTGAAGTTGTATGTCTACAGAATGATGACAGAGAGCCTACATATTCAGTACATATGTCGTTTTTAAAAAATAGATTTGCAATGTAGAACCTGTGGACACAAGAGACTGATGGTAACTAGGATAAGTAGCTAGCTATCTTAAAATGAATTGCATTTCTTGAGATTGCTTGCTTTATACAAACCAACATCCCAAGACTGGATTTCTGAGCCAAGCCTTTCAATATTGGTACCGCAGCTCATTTCCATGAAGACCAAGTAAATTTCCTTCAGAATGATATTTTCTGGACCCAGTCAGTTATGTTATCATGTTAAGTATTAACAATTTTAAAGTTGCCATACTAGTGAGCCTTGAAAGCAGTTAGGAAATCCAGGTTTTAGATGGTACTTTTAATGATACTTCTTGTTGAAGATTGCAATCACCCTAAATGGCTAATATGATGTCTCCCCACCCTGTGTTTCATTTGCAGATCCACATTGGATAAAGGGTAAACTTGTTACAGATTCTCTCTTTAAAAGGCATCTGTGCAGTAGTGCAATTTGAATAATAAAGTATTTCACTTTAAAAGGTAGGTGAAAAATAAGGAGCATGTGTCCTACAGATGCTTTTAAAATATAGCCGGCAAACTTCATATTCTTGATTTTGTTTAATCCTTCTGAGAGCCCTGCGAGGGAGATGGAATTGTCTTTTTCATTAATGAAGACAGCTCAGAAAAGGAGAAAACATGCTGATTTATCTTCAGGAATTCAGGTTTGAATCCAGGAGTTTCTGATGCAAGTTTTTCCTCGCATCATTCTGTCTTCTGCTGTATCCAGAAAGCTACCCTGTCCTTAACTTTTGTAGTCAGCATAAAAGAAGCATTATAAAGCTTACATAGGAAACTATTAGCATAAATTGAGAGATATTAGAGCCCTCCAGAAGCTTGTTTTACAGGAGTTGAAAATCATAAGCACAGTCTGTAGCAGTCTTATTCATAATTCTTAGCCTTTCTTTTTAATATCTTTTAAAATTTATCTGAAAGGCAGAGTTACAGAGAGGAGAGACAGAGATCTTCCATCTGCTGGTTCACTTCCCAGATGTCTGCAGTGTCCATGACTGAGGCAGCTGGAAACCAGAAGCTTGGAGCATCCTCTGTGTCTCCCACATGGGTGCAGGGTCCAAGGACTTGGGCCATCCTCTGCTACTTTCTCAAAACATTAGGAGAGAACTACATTGGAAGTGGAGCAGCCAGGTCTCATATTGGAGACCGGCATTGCAAGTGGAGGCTTAACCTATGTCATAGCACCAACCCCTCCCTAATCCTTCTGTTGAGGCACAAAATTATAGGGGCTAGAGCAAGACATAAAATGTCTGGTGGTCTTCCTTCATTAGCTTGTAGCTCTAGAAAGAGATCCACAAACGTTGCCACTCTCCTTGACTTGTCCTGGGCAATGAATGAGACCTGATTCCAGCGTTCTTTATTTTCATGCCATATAACCTCAGTCTTTACCATCTTTCCTACATAATGGTCCCATACAGAAGGAATAGTCTTTTGTATACTACTATTTGTGTATACCACATTACCCTAATCTTTCCTACTCACTCTTTTCTTGCTCTTACACATGACTCAGCTTTTGAATCTCGTGAATCCCTGATATCTGGGGCACTAAAAGTATTAGGTATATTTATTTACGAATAAGCATAAAGCCAGGGCTGGCATCATGCTGCAGCAGGTTAAGCCACTGCCTGTGATTTCGGCATCCCATGGGTATCCATTACACCCCAGCTGTTCCATTTCCAACCAAGCTTCCCAGTAAAGTACCAAGGAAAGCATGATTCCCAAGTACTTGGGCCCCTGACACCTACATGGAAGATCTAGATGGAATTCAGGGTTCCTGGATTCAGCCTGGCCCCATACCACCTTTTGTGCAGCTCTGGCCATTGCGGCCGTTTGGGGAGTAAACTAGCTGGTGAAAGACTAGCCTCTTGCATGCTCGCTCGCTCTCCCTTTCTCTCTCTCTCTCCTTTTCCTTCTTTCCTCCATCCCTTGCTCTCTTCTCTCTATATAATTCTGCTTTTCAAATAAAAATAAATCTTCAAAAAAAAGCATAAGGTCATCTGTGCTGTTTCAGAGAACTCATCCAGCTGGTTTTCCTTACGAGTAGTAATCTTGCTAGACATTGCAAGTTTGAATTCATACTTGAGAACAGTGTACACTGGTTATAGTTCTATCCTAGCCATCAATTGAGCACTCAGCTTCACCATAATTACTGGACAAGTTACTTATTTCTCTGAGTGTGTTTAGCCTGCTGAATGATAGTAGTCACCTCTGTCTTGTAAGAATCAGGTGAAACCAAATGTTGAGTGTATCTAGTCTATTCTTACTGCCCTGAACCCTGTGACCTAAAGTTCATAAAAAAGTAGAAGCAGAGGGCTTTCGAATCCTTGGACTTAAAATAGTTCTTATATGATTGTAAAATAATACTAAATATAGGAGAATACTAGTGTAAACAGATACAAAAAAATAAAAATCATGTCTAATAATGCTCAAGAGGTGTTGGTTTCCCCATTTTCCTTATATTCATATTTTAGCTTTTTAGGTTTTTTTATTTTAAGGTTTATTTATTTATTTTCCTTGAAAGAGTTCTAGAAAGAGAATGTCTGAAATCTTCCAGCTGCTGGTTCCCTTACCAAATAGCTACATCAGCCAGAGCTTGGGCCAGTCCAAATCCAGGAGCCAATATCTTCTTCCAGTCTCCCACCTGGGTACAGGGGCCCAAGGAATTGGGCTATTGTCACTTCCCTCCCAGGCCATCAGCAGGCAGCTGCATTGGAAGTAGAGCAGCCAGGACTTGAACCGGTGCCCATATGCCAGTGCCACAGGCAGATGATTGTCCTGATATGCTACTACACCAGCTCTTCCACATTTTAGCTACTTTTTAAAAAATATTTATTTTATTTTTATTGGCATGTCATATATACAGAGAGGAGGAGAGACAGAGAGGAAGATCTTCTGTCCGTTGATTCACTCCCCAAGCAGCCACAGTGGCTGTAGCTGCACTGATCCAAAACCTGGAGCCTCTAACAGGTCTCCCATGCAGGGTTCAGGGTCCCAAGGCCTTGGGCCATCCTGGACTGCTTTCCCAGGCCACAAGCAAGGAGCTGGATGGGAAGCAGGACTGCCGGCATTAGAACAGGAGCCCATATGGGATCCTGGCACATGCAAGGCAAGGACTTTAGTCGCTAGGCCACCATGCTGGGCCCAGTTATGATCAGTTTTAAGGTTTATTCAAAGGTTATTTTCTGTTAGGGCCCAAACCATAGGGCTTAATTCATTCTCTCATAAGAAGTTTAGAGTGAAGCAGGGCTAGGATGCTTTGAGATCTCCAATATGTTAGGCAAGAGGACTCCGGGTGTCTTCTGTCTCCTTCTGTGATGCTGGCTTCCTTACTTATGTTCCATAATGACAACTCCAGGCATGGCATCTTCATTCCAACAATGCAAGAGAAAATCCTCCTGGAGTCCTAGAGAATACTCCAGCTCACCTCTTATTGATCAGACTTCATTCATTTAAGCCACATCTTGCCTTAAGGATGGCTAGGTACATTGCCTAAGGTTAATAAGCAAGAAGGAAAAGTATGTTGGGAGGCAACTGGTAGTTTGTCTCACAAACAAGCACCTAAAAATTATTGCAAATTATTTTTACCAGAACTGATACTTTGCTTTGAAAGTAAGAATATATTATCGAACTCTGGATTCACATCAAATATTACTCATCAGCACTATTTAAACCTCAGAGATGATGAGATATGGGATAATTTTTTCTAGTATACACAATATTACTTGCTTTTCCAAGGCAAAAAACAAAAAGCATTTTCAAGAAGTTATTTTCAGATTTATAAGAAAATAAACTAATAGGAAAATGAGGGTGGATTTTTGTGAATTTTTAAGATGACTTGCCTCATAGGCCAATGATGTATAACTAAACTTTTGAATCATTTAATCCTTATTACAAGATTGTGTTTGGTTTTAGATGAATAAGAGTGAAATATTGGACAGAAATAGATTTTATAGTCTCTGTATCATGATTTTTAGCTCAACGTCACTGTTTGCAGAAAATTTCATGCTGAAAAACAGAAGCAATTAATGGATGAATATGACCAGATTTCTCCATCAAGTTCTCAGCCTGATAAGGGTAAGGCTACATTCACTTCTTTGTTCACATTCTTGCTTTCTGTGGTCTTTACGGACTGGCTTCTTCCACTGTAATGTCTTCCATGTCGTATGTGTATCAGTGCTACATTTTACTGTTGAATAATATTCCATTGTATGCGATAACCACATTTTGCTTATCTATTTAACAGTTGATGACCATTTGAGTTGCTTCTGCTTTTTAGCTTTTCCAAATAGTACAGCCGTGAACATTTTTGTACAAGTTTTTTTGTGAACACAAGCTTTCAGTTCTTTTGGCTGTGGGGTGTGTGTGTGTATATATATATAATGTGAGAGGTGGAATCGCTGGGTCATGTAATAAGCACGTGTTACTGGTGTTACTGTCAGGAACTGTCAAATTATTTCTGTACTATTTTACATTCCCATCAGCAAGGTCCTTGTTAACACTTAATAGCATCTCTTTTTGATCATACCCATCCTAATTTATATGTACTAAAATATTCTTATTCTCAAAAATTTTCAAACATCTTCAAAAGGAGAAACAGTGCAACAAATGAATATCATATACCCATTATCTGTTTTCAACAACTATCTTTAATCTTATTAATGACCTTATAAAAAAACAGCTTTATTGAGGTATATAGTTGACATACTATATAAATAAAAATATACAGTGTCACAGATATGGATATGGAGAATGATCACTGCAGTCTAGACATTGAACACACCATCACCCCCCAAAAAATGACCCTTTCTTTTCCCTTACTCCTGCCTCTTCCTACCTAAATCCCACCCAACCATTGTTATTTTAGATTTTCATTTTCTAGATTTGTTTTTGTGAATGGAATCATACAGTAGGCCTCTTTGACTTAATGTGTTTGAGATTCACCCATGTTGTTGGCTGTATTGCTATATTTACCTTTATCCCACTGTGTAGTTATAGCATTGTTTAATTTACTCACTCACTGGTTGATTGCCATTTGAATTTTTTTCCCTTTCTGGGGCTCTCACAAATAAAATCACTATAAACATCCATATGTAAGTATCTGGATAGACAGATACCACTCTTTGTTTTAGGCATTTACCTGAGAATAACTGGGTCTTTTGGTGGTGTGTGTTTGACTGACTTAGAGACTGTCCCATTGGGCACTCCTGTAGTGACACAGGAAGGGTCCAGGTGTTCCTCCTTCTCACCAACACTTGTATTGTCAGTCTTTCTCATGTCATCTATTGGGTATGATGAGCTGTCTCATCAAGTTTTAATTTATATTTGATGATTGATGACTTTAAACATCTTTTCATACGTCTTATTGACCATTTGTATATATCCTTTTCTGAAATATATGTTAAAATACTTTATATATATTTAGTCAGGTGTTGCATTTTTATTCTAGTCAAAATTTTATTTAAGTAGAGTGGGGATTTAAGTTTTCTAATTCAACAGGTTAGACTTCATAACACTTTGTTTTTACAAATTCCCAGAAAAAAAAAATAGCTGAGAGTTAGTGACTGGAGTGTCACATCAGACTTATGTTTCTGTAAAGGAAAAAAACATTTGGTTCTACCTGAATAACATCTCCTAATTTAGGATGCTATGGCACCCAAAACAACCAGCACATTATCCCACACTAAATACATCTTCTGCCATATTGGTACTTATGTGTGACTTGAGGAAAGGGAGGAAAAAACAGAAATCAGGAATAATTGTTGCCTCTCCCCCTCAACAAAGACTGGTTTATCTACCTAAGCATCTCTGCCTCAGCATGACGCCTCTAAGCATCAGCCTCCATTTTCTCCCTTACCCCACCCCCCAACCAGGATTTAAGAAAGAACAAACCATTGGGCATTCTAGAATGCTTTTCTCACCAATCGGAATTAACAAGCCCTTCACAGAAGGCACAGAACTCTGTGTCTTCCTCACACTCAATACTAAAAAGTAGTTTTCATCTCATAGCTGATTTTCTAATCCCCACCACCCCCAGACCATTTTACAAACAACCTTGTATTATTTAAGCCTTAGAGTGCACTCTAGTCAGGTGAGTATGTGTATTTATTTTATTTTGTTCATGTAAACTGAAGATTTAAAGATCAAATAACTTCTGTGGGTCTGTTACTTTTCTTAGAAAACATTATACAGGAACGGATTAATCAGAACTTGAGAAACTGTCTGAACATCCACATCAAGCCCCCACCACCAGTGTGTGGTTTTCACCCTTACAAGTTGTACATTTTTTTAGCTTTGCCAGCATCTGATTGGTCAATTACTTGCTGCCCTCTTCTGAGAAGTATTAAGTTGTGAGTCGCCTGGGAGATATTTGACCATCCTGATGCTGCTTTTTAAGATATCATGTCCTGATAGGCAACTTACACATTTCAGTAAGTTTGAATTTGTTGAGGCGTCTATTTTTTGAAATTCTTTTCAAGAGCAAAGGAAGTGTTCAGAATGGAATAATCTAGTAAGGATTTTCTTCCATCTTCTCTGCAGAAAATCCCTTTTTGTCAGGCTAATGAAGCATTCAAAGAAGACATATGACTCTTTCCAAGATGAACTTGAAGATTATATTAAAGTACAGAAAGCCAGAGGCTTAGAACCGAAGACTTGTTTCAGAAAGATGAGAGAGGACTATTTGGAGACCTGTAGGTACAAAGAAGAGATGGATTCCAGACCCCGGTACAGGATGTTTGATCAAAGACTCCCACCTGAAGCCATCCAGATGTACCCAGCATCATGCAGTGTCTCACCAAGCATGGAGAACCGCTTACCCCAGTGGTTACCAGCTCACAGCAGCAGGCTGAGACTAGACTCTCTGAGCTACCGTCCGTACACCAGGGACTATTTCTCCCAAAAGCCAGTACCCCTGCACCTTAGTCAGCAAGGATACAATTACGGCCCCTGCAGTGTAGAATCTGGAGGCTACAGGCACCTCTCCTCGGAAGGCAGCCCCAGAGCCTATCAAGCCAGTCACAAACAGAGCATTCTGTGGTGTTTATTGGTTAATGTGGTGTTGGTGTGGTTGTAAATGTGTGGAGGAAATTGATGTGTTGGTTTTGTTGGGTGGTGTGGTTGGGTGAAGTTTATGTTGTGAGGTAACAAATGTTGGATGTGGGGTTGATGTTTAGGATATGTATGGTATTGCTTTGGTTATTGTTGAGGTTGGTGTTTTTTAAAAGTTGGGGAAGAGTTGTTTGTGGTAAGTTTGAGTTGTATTGTTTTTTGGTTAAAGGATTTGTTTGGTAAGTGGTGGTGTTAGGGGGTAATGAAATTAAGGGGTTGATTAATTGATGTGAGAATGTGGTGTATGGTTTTATGTGGGGTTGGGGGGGGGTGTGGGGGATGGATTTGAATAGAGGGTGGGGTTAGGATAGGGTAAGGAGTTATTTGGAATTGGGATATGGTTGGAAGTTGGTTGATTAGAGAAAGATATTTTGTAGGAAAGATTTGGAGTTTTGATATGGGGATGGGGGGGGGTTATTTGATGTTAATAAAAGTTGGTGTGTGGGATATGAGGAGGGATGATTGTTGAGTGCTGGAGGGTTTTATGGAAAGGGGGTTTGATTTGTATGTTGAGGTTTTGGGAGGGGATGTTTAGTGGGAGGGTGTGGTTGTGGGGGGGGGTGTGGGGGGGGGTATGGAGGGATGGGGGGGATATTTGTTGAATGGGTGGGGTGAGATATTGGGGGGGTTATTAGGGATTATGTGGTAGTGGGGGGTTGGGGTATTTTTTGTTTTATGGTGTTTGGGGTGGTGTATGTTTGGTTGAATTGGGGATTTGTGTAGGGATAGTATTATGGGGTGTTGCGTTTGGGGGGTTTATTTAAGGTAGAGTGGGAGGTTAGTTGTTGTTCTGTGTCCATGACCTGTTTGTAATGTGGGCCTTGTGTTACAGCATGTTAAGCTACTATTTGGGATCCTGCATCCTATATAGAGTCCTTGATTTGAGTCCTGGTTCCTTGCAAATGCACCTGGGAGGCAACAAATGATGGTTCAAGCACTTGGGACACTGCCACCCACATGAGAGACACAGAGTCTGGGCTCATAGCACTGGCTGTTGCAGGCATTTGGGGAGTGAACCAGAAAATGGAAAATCTCTCTACTTTCAAACACGTGAAAATTAAAATTAAAACCAATGGTCTGCTCCCAGCCAACAGTTATTTCCTTTTGAAGAAAGAGTGATAACTGGATAGATTGTGCTTTAGAGACAAATCTTTTTGAGAAATCATGCTTTAGTGTTGTAAAAATTCCTCTCTGCCAGGCCTTCTCAAAGTTAAACCCGGTTTTGAGGATAGAGACCTAAAACTGACCACAGTTTTTTCAACTAATTGAAACTGAAGAGAGAGAGAGAGGGAGAAGAAACTGAAAAGAGAAGAAAACTGTAACAACTAAAATGTCAGTAATTATTCTGTTTTGGAGTGGGTGTTGTAATGCAGCCCATTATGAGCTGACACTTGGGTTATCCATATTAGAGTGGTCAGTTCAAGTCCCCTGGGCTTTGCCTCGAATCCAGCTTCTGCTCATGCGCCTGGGAGGAATGATAATGACTCACTCAAGTACTTAGTTCTTGCCACCCACATGGGCTATCCCATGGAATTCCTGGCTCCTGGCCTCAGCCTGGCCCAGCTCCCCCTGTTGCAGCCATTTGGAGAGTGAATCAGCAAATTAAATAGTTCTCTCTTTCTCTAATTCTGCCTTACAAATAAACAAGTAAATCTTTAAGAAATTTTCTGTTTTAGCAATACTATAACAATATTCATATACATATGTATATATAAACATATTCATATACATATATGTCACTAAGTGTTCTAGCCATTTGGGGAATGAATCAGAGAATTTAAGATTCTGTCATTCTGTCTTGCAAGTAAATCTTAAAAAAAATTATATCTTGGTGTCACCATGAGAATATTCAACAGCATACAAGATTACTAAGGTTGATTCTTCATAATGATTTTTATGTCAAGGATCAGTGGTTAGACAATTGAGTGTCAACACAGACTGAATATATCATGTAGAATGTGGAGCAGGGAAGAATACAAGTCCATGTGATGGCAGTGATGGTACTGAGGGAGACAGAACCATGGTTACGGTGCCAGGAGTGGGGAACATGTGGCCCTCCAGCCATCTAAGGCCCACAAAGTCATTTGGGTTGGCTCTGCTAAGTCATTTGGGACTCAAAGTTCAGTCAATCTATAGCAGGCTAACTTTTAAGTTGATAACCCACAAATGATGTTACAAATATACAAAAGACCTTTGGCAAAACAAAGGTTTCCCGTTCCTAGTAGTTTTCAAAAACCTTAAGTCAAATCTTTTACCATGTAAATGACCTTATTGTCCACCTCCTCCCTCCATATACAGATTCAAGCATAATTTTCTGGTTACGCTGAAGCCTCCAGGGGATATTTCTTTACATTTATGTCTCTAGGCACCTTCAAGGAGTATTTCTGTGGGAGCAGAACCTAAAATTAATAGAAGGATACAGGGAAGAAAATGATAGCCAAATTCAGAAAAAAGTAGAATCAGGGCTGGCAGTGTACCATAACGGGTTAATCCACAAACTGCAGTGCCAGCATATCATGGGCACCTGCTCAAGATCCAGCTGCTCCACTTCAAATGCAGCTCCCTGCTACTGTGCTTGAGAAAGCGATGGAAGACGGCCCAGGTCCCTGGATCCCTGCCACCCACGTGTGAGACTCAGAGAAGGGTCCTGGTTCCTATCTTCAGCCTGGCCTCTCCCTGATCGTTGCAGCTCCTTGGGGAATGAACCAGCAAGTTGAACATCTCTGCTTCTCTGCCTTTCAAATAAAAAAGTAGAACTGACTAATTTGGATAAGAACTAGGAGCCCACATGTCTGCATTGTACCAGGAAGGCACCTGAGTAAAAGGGTTAGTACTTGAGCTGTCTTCCTCAGGTTAGAGATCCAGGGGAAGTCAGGCAGCCAAAGGAGAAGCAGTCCCAGGTATGACAAGCAAAGCAGCATGGGAAACAGTAACTGAGGGGACCAGGAGGAACTCACTGAGTAGGAACAGGCCTGGGCTAAGACATCACAAGAGATGGGTACTGGTTCCAATTCTGGCAGCCCTGCTTCCCATCCAGCTCCCTGCTTGTTGGCCTGGAAGAGCAGTCGAGGACAACCCTTGGGACCCTTCACCCACACAGGAGATCTGGAGGAGCCTCCAGGCCCCTGGCTTTGGATCTGCGGAGCTCGGGCCGTTGCAGCCACTTGGGGAGTGAACCAATGAACGGAAGATCTTCCTCCCTGTCTCTCATTTATATCTGACTTTCCAATAAAAATAAATAAATCCTCAGACATCACAAGAGACACCTAATCAGATGTGCACAGAGAATCAGCTCCTGTCTTCAGTGAAAAAGAGGTACCACATGTGTCATGGTCCAAATTTACCAAATTAAATTTTCCATGAGAAGCTATAACAAGTCATTGGAATTAGGGCTAGAAAGAAAGCCAGTCACCCGGAACCATACTAAAGAACTTGGATTGCCTTGAGACTGTGAGAAACCACTAAAGGCTCTAAGCCAGTTCCAGTTTTCTTTTTAAAAGACCACTTTGTGGGGCTGCCACTGTGGCTCATTGGCTAATAATCCTCCACCCTTCAAGTGCCAGCATCGCATATGGTGCTAGTTAGTGTCCCAGCTACTGCACTTCCCATTCAGCCCCATGCTCATGGCCAGGGAAAGCAGTGGAAGATGGCCCAAAGCCTTGGGACCTTGCACCCATGTGGGAGACCCAGTGGAGATTCCTGGCATCTGGCTTCAGATTGGCCCAGCTCCAGCTGTTGTGACCATTTGAGGAGTGAACCAATGGAAGGAAGATCTTTCTGTCTGTAAATCTGCTTTTCCAATAAAAAAAAATTTAAGAAGAAGAAAAAAAAAACCACTTTCTACACCATCTGAGCCTTCCCATACTGGGCCTATTCCAACACGGTCTGATCCTGTTACCTCTCTGACGCTGTTCTTCCAAGGGCTCCAGTTGACAAAGCTAATGCACACTTTTGTTTACTTCAACTCAGCCCTTGAGGAGCCAGTCCCTCTTCCTCTCTTGGCTTCCCCAGTGCTGCCGTCTTCATGTATCTCTGTCCCAACTATCTGCCAGTGCATCCTGAGCAGAGCGCTGGGATCCACGCATTTCTAATATCTTATCCTAATTGACTCGTCCAAACCCACAGCTTCAATTTGACCTGTATGTTGCCAACCTCCACATTTCTGTTTACACTTGACCTTCCCCCCTGAGATCCAGTCTCCCCAACCGCCTTCCTTGATGTTTCTACTCGGAAAGCCAACTGAGTGCTCACTTGCCTCATCACCAGTCATGCTTTTCTCCATCTTTCCCATCTCTAGAAATAGTTAACACCAACTAAATTGTTCAAGGCCAACATTGCTCCAATTATCCTTTCCTGTCTTCTCCATCATCAGACCATGAGCAATTCCTCCCGGTTACCACCAAATTATCTCTCCTTTATTCAACTCCCTCCATCGTCATTGCTACCAACCTATTCCAGACATTTATCCCCATACTGAGCTGGACAAACAGATCTGAAATTATTTGCAAAACTGGAAGAAATACACAGGGTCTTGGGTATGGGTAAATGCAAGGAAGGTTCCAGGTAACGCTAAAAGCATCAAGAAGAGAGTATCCCTGGTGAGCTAGGCATGAAAACTAGAAACAGGAAGGCCTGCTGAGCCAGGCTTAGCCCCGAGAGGGCGAGATAGAGCCAGTCTGAACCTCAAAGAGCTGAAACTGGGAAAGAACTGTAGTCTAGTCCCCTCAACAGAAATATCCTTCCTCTAGTCCAAGGTGACACATTTCATTTGCATTTTGGAAAGAAGGGGGAGAATATGATCTAGCCCCATGTTAAGTTGCAAGAAAAAGGTAAAAGTAAATAATTTTTTTCTTTAACTTTCATTTATTTGAAAGAACAACATAAACAGAGATCTGGGCCCAGTGCAATGGCTCAACTGGCTAATCCTCCACCTCCAAGCACTTCCAGTTTACTGAAAAATAAAAA